AAGACTGGACATCCAGCAAGTGTCTGAGACAAGCAGTCAGAGACACGGCTCAGTGGTAAAGAGCACATGCTGCTCTTCTGGAAGGCTCCATTTCAGTTCCTAGCATCCACGTGGACAGCACACAACCACCCCTGTAACTCCACTTCCAGAGGGAATCTGGTGCCACCTTCTGGCCTCTGCAGTCATCTGCACAAACCCACATAAACGCATACATATGAACAAAAATTTGTAATGTATGTGAGACCTCTACTACATGGTCACGACTTCACCCAAGAAAGTCCTGAAAACTGCCCGCCCATCTCCACTTTAGCTTCTACATGCTCCCAGTAGTCCACAGGGTTTAGTGTTGGAGCCAACAGCTTCAGCATCATCATGCAATTTACTAGACATGAACATTCTTAGGCCCCCACCCTAAATCAGAAACTCTGGTGATGGTGAATTCACGTAGGTATTTTCAAGCCCTTAGGAACTACTGATGTACAACCAAGCTGGCAAAACTATGTTCAAACATATGTGAGCGTGCTGCCTCCTGCCTCTAGCGGACCCTACAGGTCTTCATGCCTCTCTGATGTCTTCATTTGTAAATGAATGTTCTGAGAAAAGTACCCGCAGGATTATAATCCGCCTGCTGAAAACTCCATCTGCAGTACCTGCGGGAGTAAGTGCCTATGCCTAAGACACTGACCCACCAGGGAGACAATGGCTGAACTGGTTAAGGTCAGCATTATTAGTCACTCTATTTATTTAAGTCGCCTGCCTCACAAACTGACACGGCTTGCTGTCAAAGCAGGACTTGATTTTGCATACCTTCTAGCTAACACTCGTAGAGTTATTTTTGTATGCAGTTGAAAAGGGTCTACATGTTGTACAAGGCTCCTATTTATTGTACAAGAAAACATTCACACTGGGTCTTTTAAGCACCCTTGGTCTCTCTTTGGGACGGGGGGGGGGGAGGAAGTAGGAAAATGAGTATTTTTAGAACCAGGGAGTAATTTATCCCTGAAGGAAACAACATAGAAACTCAAATCAAGTGTGTGGAAATAATACATTGTCGTTACTCTCTTGACGCTACCAAATTATAACCTATAAACCCCATAGCGCTTGACTTAAAGACCCTATCCATATTTACAGAAATCTAAATGAATGTTTCTTCCTGTAGCGCGTGCACAACAGGAGACTTTGCTACCCCAAAGCATGTATAAGGAGCGTGTTATCAAAGATGTCAGTGTAACCAGGCACGATGGATAAGCACACAGCCTACATCACATATGTATTCTGGGAGCCTTTATCTGCAGTTAATTAGTTTAGCTATTGCTTTCATGGTTCATTTAGACACCTCACGCTTCATTAAGTATCAATAAATTTTATCCTCAAAAAAGAAGAACATTTTCAGTAGAAATAGGACTGTCTCTTCAAGCGATAATCTTGTTAATGGGTGTGTATATTGCAAGTGTGTCTATCAGGGCTGACAAAGCCCAACTGCCACGGCTGCAGTACCCTGAAGTAATATGCAAATTTTATTCTATAGTTTAACATGCATGCCTCATCCACACATATTTTCTTACAGTAGAAGGGAAAAAGCCTTTCTTTTCTCTTCCAAAAACGATGCATCTTTTAAGCTTCTATTTTTATTTTGTCAAGAATGCCTACTGATGTTTCATAAGCTCCTTTTCTCCGTTACATCAATTCTAAATTCCTTCTTATTGGAAAGAAACTTTTAGCGACTTTCCACAGCACGACAGACTGTTTTCAATAATCATGTTTTCTTTGCATTTTCAATTTTTCCAAAGAGGGCAGGGGTTCAGTTGCTGGGCCCTGAACACCCACCCTAGCAGAAAGTTGTCTGGACTGATCACTGAATTCCAGGGCAGGTGTGTCTGAACAGGGAGGCCAGGAGCAACGAGAAAGGGCATTGGCATATGAACAGGACCTTCTACTTCTCTTGCCTCCCAGGCCATTGACTTGTCCAGTTCTGTAATGACACCGTGCTTCACCTGCTCATGTGCGGAATTTGTCACTCAGTTTCTTGCCTGTGGCTCACATGTTCCCTACAGAATGTCAGTCATTCGTTCTTCCACCCCATTCATACACCTAAAAAGGCACTGCTGGGGATAAAGATCCCTCCCCGGCCACTTCCATGCAGTATCGGGGTACTCACTAAAGCAAGTAGATGGACAAAGGAGAAAGACCATTTCAAACAAAGGTAAGTTCCATAGAGGAAACGCCACACATCGGTTGGCATGACGACTGTAGGGCGAGTTGGCAGGTACAACCTGTGGTTCATAACCTGAGCTGAAAATAGAGGGACAAACAGCTGTGAAAGAACTTAGGAGAGGAGTGGAAAGTCCCAAGAATAGACAGTGGCTAAGTAAAAAGACTATAATGTTAAACTGACCTGACCTAATAAGCAGGAAGCCCAGAAGGAAGGAAAGCAGAAGTTGGAGTAGAGGTGCCGGATAAATCTGCCCGACTCAACTCTACAGAGCAGTCTCGCAGTGAGTATAGCTTGCGATTCGCTGGAGTCCGTATCTCTAGCACATAGTCCCAGACCTACTACATAGCCCCTGATGTGGGTTCGATGAAGGAGCCCAGTGGACCATCACCCAAAGCGCTGGAGGACACACCCGGCAGACTTTTCTATCATTCTGTATACTTCCTTACTTTTCTCAGGCCACTGGAGCATAGCACCCTTTATTCTTTCTATATAATGCTAACTCACAAGAGCCCCTTACATGCTGGAGAAGGCCGTTGTATCTATTTTCACACCAGAGACAATGGGTTGTGCTGTGAGGGTGTCCGTGTGGTTTCACTGATCCTTCGAGTGGCCAACAGGAAAACATGTTTAGGAGGCAAGGAGTAGGAGCTCAGAGCAGAAGCAGAAAGGGCTTCCAAAGGGAGCTCAGAGTTGCTTTCTCTTGCCCTGGTGTTTATTTAAGGAGTACTTCAACTCGACCACTAGTGGAGGGCCAAAAACGAACACTAATATTCACCATCGAGCGATCGCTGTCATCATCATCACCATCATCGAGTCTCTAAACACAGAGTAACATAAATGAACTCTCGCGGCGGAGCTTTGTTATCATGATGGATGGCGAGAAGGAGGGAAGAGGGACAGCCTGTTAGGAGCACTTTCATTTCCATGCGAAAACACATTTCAGTACTTCCAAATTTGGCCTATCTGCTTTGCCTGTGGTAGATAAGAGGCAAATTCTGCATAATGGATGAACGGCGCCTGGTTTCATTTCCTCTAAATACCTCTTGGTAATGATGAAGACTTCACCAGGTTGGCTCTGACAGGCCTCAAGACCACCTCACCAGGTTGGCTCTGACAGGCTTCGAGACCATTATAAATCTACAAAGCCAGAGTGACTACATTGGATATGTGTGGGAAACACAAGCTTGCTGGGTTTATGCACACCAGTAAAAATTCCAAAGGGGTCTGATGCCAGGAAAATGCCTTATTTTGTCAGAAAGTACATCTCCCACACAGCAGCAGGTCTGGTGGGGCTTGAGCCACATGTTAAAAACAAAGCGAAGTGACATGCGATACGGGCCTCACAGCCCGACGACAGAATTCACGAGCTGTCTTCACTTGGAGCTTTTTCTGGGACAAACTGAGTCCGCAGAGCCCAAGCCTGCTTGACGGCTGTGTCTTATTGGTCTATCACGGTTGTTTTCCGCAAAGTCGTTACCTCCGAGATGGCTGAGACTCATTTCTCGTTAGGATTTCAAGATGTATCCCCATTTCCAAACAAAAGTCTGAAAGTCTAAGGAACTTGGTGCTTTCCAGTCTCCTATATAGGTAAGTTAATATTCACGGATAGCTTTCTTTTGTTTGTTTCTGGGATCATGCAGATGGAGTCGCAAGCTTACTTAAATCCGCTGAGAAGTAAGGTAATGGGTCCTTCTCCTAACAGTCACTGTGGGAATAGTCCTTGTTACTTAAAGTGTACTGACATTATGAAAGTCAAACACTAATAGATTGTAAGTCTCTTTCATCAAATTCTGTCTTGCCAATTCCAAGCACTTGTTCTGAGTATACACCAAGCAAAAAGTACTTCTGCGTGCCCCAGAACAAGGGACCATGATGACAATGGATACCCCCTTCATCTTTTCCCTTTGTTTCTCTTGATGTCCACTTGTCTTTCTCACTGTTTTCCAAACCCATCGAAGGCAAGGTAACCCGTCTTGCTATGTTAGGTGTTCCGGGGCTTAGCCCAGCAGGCAACAGGAGCAACAGAACGTTATTCCCGAGGAGTTCCAGAAGCCCTAAATCCATGTGTTTGCTGGTCATTCTCTCTCTGAAGGCTCTAAGGGATTCTTTCTTACTTCATCCTGGCGTCCAGAAATTGCTGGCAGCCTTGCTCCGTCCTTCCTCACGTCCCTCCAGTCTCTCCCTCTGTCAACACATCATCTCCCATTCTGTGTATTCTGTAGACGGTGGCATTCTTATTTCTGTGCCTGTGTCTAAACTTCCCTCCTTTTTAGAATGACCATCACTGTATTAGGTCACATCCCGATCCAGCATGGTATCAGCTTTTAACTAAACAATGTCACGGAGACTACTTGAAACTAAAATCATATTCTGAAACTTAAGGCATGAACCTCTGGGTGGTGGAACACAGTATGGTCAACTGCATATAACCACATCATTTCTAAGTCACCTTTCACAAAGCCTATGAGAAACATTTTTCAGACAAATAACCTAGGGGTAAAAGATTAAGGAAAAGTAAATAACTCAATGAACTAAACTAACAGGAGACCCACCAGAGCTTACTCATTTCGGACTGAACTGTTCTCACCAGTTATGCCAATCATCCAATGTTCAGCCATGCAAACATATCGATGCAGTCGTATCAAGATATTTTTCATCAATTAATCTCCTCTATTAACCCAGTTCCCTAAGAAGAGAGCCTCTACCCAACACTCACCACCCAGATGCGTTAGATATGAGAAACATCCATGCACCATGTGAGAAACTCTACACATGCAATGCCATTATCATCATGAGAAAGACACCAAGTCCTACCATATAAAGTACTTTGAATGTAGATATGCTTAGAACTTGGGTCTAATGCATTTCAAGAGTACACAAGCACTTCAAGCCTCAAAAGTTCTTTCATTTACCTGCTTCCTCACTCGGTGGTATGCTCAAACCTGAAAATATCTTAGCTATCATCCAAGGACAAGCTTGTTCAAGAAATAGACATGCCAGGAATGATGAGTGATTAGTCCATGATGATAGAAGCAAGTAGACAACAAGCTGAGGATAAAGCCGCCAACTCACGGGCTTCAAGTTCAATTTGGTAGCATCTAACCTCTCTGGCCTGATTTCTGCCGTCACAGTTAAACTGTATTCCATAGCCAGCATAGCAAGGTAGGACAGACTGAGGACACCAAAAGTTGGCTGCCTAGATTCAAACCTGGATCCATCACTAATCCATGTAAGCCGCCATTTAGGAGCTTCGTCATCCTCCATGTTCTCCATGAAGAAAGCAGAGTTGGAAAAAAATCCTCAAGCACAAACACAAAGTGAAAATCTTTAATCACATCAACACAGAATGTCTACAGTCTCAACAGCGCTGTTGAAGAATGACGAAGGATGCCCAGAACAGGCACAATCAGTATGTTAGATTGTAGTGATTTCGAGATGAGATGATTAATAATAATAATGATAATAATAATTTGCATAAAATATGAAGACAACAAAGGAGTGATTTCGGAGGTTTTCATCATCGCCCATGTCTGTAGCCTTATTAGGTGCAAATCTTCAATCAGTTCTACAATAGTGTAGCGATTTCCTGGCCCTTCCTAATAATTAAATTTAAACTTAATTCATAATCTTCTTCACATTGACCTAATCCTCGTGTCTTCCTCTAAATACAAACGCACAAAGCTCTTCTTTCTGGTTTTAATTTCCCTGAGCGTGTGAGCTCACATTTAACTGCCTTCTTCAAATGACGGTGGGTCACTTACTGTCCTTAAAAGCCAGTCGTGTTATTGCAGCCTAACTCTGACAAATCCTGGTTCTTGTCTCTCGCGTCTTATCGCCGTGAGGCTCAGGAAGGCCAACCCTGGGAAAATTATACAAACAGCCCCAAATATTTGAAATCGGCATTGTGCTCACATGCTTACGCCTCTCTGAGAGCTCAGAGCATTTCTCTTTCGGTTTTATTCTTTCATTAGCCCAAGGCTTGCTAATTAATTGGAATTTTCCAGAGCTTTTGTTGTTGTGACAAAGGCAAACAATGCAAAAGCTCATTTCTTCATGTTAAAGAGGGCCCTTCCACTCTCCAAGACTGCAGTAGACAGGGATAAGAGGAGGATTAAGTCGACTTTGAAAGGGTCAGACTTTGTGAGTTCCTGGCCCCCGCTCCCCTACCACAGCTGTCTTCATCTTCTCCAATGCTGATTTATGAGAAGTGACATCTTAACCATGGTGTTTATTCCTCCAAAAGAGAGGCTGCTTCTCAGGCATTATGTGTGATCTAAAATTAGATGGCAAAGAACATCCTATGAGCAAGAGACAAATAATATCGGGAAGCAAAAAAAATGTTGTACAAAGTGAAAGGCTTATTTGAAAACAACAAAAAAAAATATGGATAAGAGAGGAAGGGAGTGAAAACCAGATGAACACTTCCAAGCAAAGCAAAGCCCAGGCTTCAAAGAAACAAAGAGATGCTGTACCCTGACAGAAATAGTACTGTTTAAACCAAAGATAGCCGAGCAGCTGGAACTAGGGAGTGGGGAGAGATTCCTTCCAAATTTTGGTCTTGGTTTCCTTTTCAAGCGATTACTGTAGCTGGATGCACTGGGTCATTGGAACTTACAGAAACTGCCGTGGGCTTGCTTTTCTCGTATGTAAGAGCGTGTCCTCACGGCTGTCTTTACAGATGCAGAATGGAGGCTGGAGGGCCCTCTCACAAAGCGTGTTGGCTCTTTCCAATATTATCTCTTCAGCTTTCTTTTTGACAAAAATGTGTCCATGAATTCCCAAAGGGAAGAAGATACCATCTGTCCTTGTAAAAAAAAGTGTGGTATTTTCCATAGGGGAAAAAATACTTCTTACCTGTTTACAGGTAACTGTTATCAAAAACGTCTTCAGTATTCAGCTCTATACTTCTGGCCTAGAGCTAGGATGTCTCCCAGAAAACTCAAAAAGGCCTCTAACGATCCCCTCCCTCCACTGTCCACCCAAGGGACTACCTTGTCTTGAGTGAACTGTGAACCACCTGCACGAACATCTACACAGAACTACAGGCAGGTAGATGGGAAAGAAAGCCAGGAAGAGGTTCTTTGACTAGGATCAAGGAGGATCAGTAAGCACAGTGTGTTCAATGCAACTGAAACTGCTCAGAAATCTGGACTTGGAGACAAAGGACAGGGCTGGCATTCAGAATCAACAGGGCTTAGGACTGTAAAGAGATAGGAAATTGACAACAGACCAGGAGGAAGTATGTAAAGGCGGATTGCACGTTGAGGGAGTGGTACAGGACCCTGAAGGAAGCAAGGTGCAGGGAATCACACAATGTCGAAAGACACAGACTCTGCAACAAGACCATGTGGCTTTAACTCTTAGACTACTGTTCACTTCACCTGAACGTCCACAGAAGCACAAAACTGTGTAAATCTCCAAGTTTCTCTCTGGAATAGGGGGGAAAACAACAACTGCTCTCCAGGAAAGTGCCTGACACTATACTACAGTTCAAATCTTAAATACTCCTCCAGAGGCCCATTTGTTGAAGCCATGGTCCCCAGCCCGTGGCATTGCTGGGTGACAGAGGAACCTTTAAGAGATGGGGTTGACTGGAAGTGAACTAGGTCATTAGGAGCATGTCCTTGAAGGGATTAGGGGACTCTCAACTCTTTGTCTGTCTCTCATTCGCTCTGGCCATGGGGTGAAGGCTCTCTCTGCCTGCTGCTCCCATCATAATACCCTGCCGGCCTCACCAGATCCAAAAGGAATGGAGTCAATGGGCGTGTGGTGAAACCTCCAAGAGTGAGAATCATAAACCTTTCTTCTTTTTTAGTTGTCATCTCAGGCGTTTTGTTACCGTGACAGGGACTAACATACACAGTGTCTGTGCTACTGTGAATCATTAAAGTCTGTGTGAAATGATTGTTACATTTATTAAGAAACAATAAAATCACAAGAGGTCTGTGGATGAGATGCAGTCACGGCATCTCAGATTTACTTAGAACTTCTATGATACTTGGAAGACTAGAAAATAGAGTTTTCAGTAACGGGGGATACTGGGAGCATCCTTTTAAGGCTAACAGACTTTATGATGAGGAAACCGAGGGATGGATGATTTTTACCATAAATGGAGACATGTGCTGTTTGGTCACCTAGGAGGCTTAAATAAGCATGAAGAATAGACCATGAGAATAAGCTGCTGTGTAATAGTGACAGAGGAGGTCTGTGCTGGGATCTGAACGGATGGTCCAGCCTGACTGCTGGTCAGTGGCACACGCTGACAAAGAGCCCCTCTCTTCTCAGTCTAGGGCTTCAGCTTTGCAGATTCCCAAAGGACCATTAATGTCCCTTCCAGTTTCGTTTTTTACTATTATATCATTTGAATTAAGGACTGTGGCTAGAAATCAAAGCAGCAATTGGTTAACAATATTTGGAAATAATGTCCTCAGTCTCGTGCATTCTCACAAAAGAACAGGGAACTCAGTTTCCTGCCCTTTCGTCAAGGAGACACAATGTACAGTCAGTTATCCCTTCTTCCTTCCACTTCTCTCTCCTCTGTTATCTGTCCTAATGGGAAAGTCATCAGGAAGAAGTGTGCTAAGCAACCAGATCAAGTTTTAAAAACCAAAGCCGAATCCTTCTTATATGGGAAGACCAAATATGGAAAAAGAAAAAAATTAAAATAAAATACACCTAACTCTGACAGACAGAAAAACACATACTTAACACTAGAGCCGATAGAAAAGAAACACAAACCTAACACTGGCTGATGGAAAAACACACACCTAACACTGTCAGACAGAAAAACACACACCTAACACTGACTGATGGAAAAACACACACCTAACACTGACAAGACAGAAAAACACACACCTAACATTGACAGAGAAACACACACCTAACACTGGCTGATGGAAAAACACATACCTAACATTGACAGAAAAACACACACCTAACACTGACTGATGGAAAAACACACACCTAACACTGACAAGACAGAAAAACACACACCTAACATTGACAGAGAAACACACACCTAACACTGGCTGATGGAAAAACACATACCTAACACTGACTGAAGAAGAAAAACCGAAAGTGCAGTCACAGATTGAGAGGGTGCTCAGACAGTAAAGCACTTGCTGACAAGCATAAGTTTGGATTCTCAGCACCCAAGTAAAAGCTGGGCCCATTGTTACGTGTCTGTAATAGCTGCAATGAGGAACAAACCCCAGGGACTGGCTGCACAGCCATTCTAGCCCAAATGTTGAATTATGAGTTCACGGAGAGACCTTGCTCAAAAAACAAGCTGGAGAGCCATGGAGGAAAATATCCAGGATCAACTTGTGGCTCACACGTACATGCATACAGGTGAGCCCACCTACCTATCTACCTACACTGACAGATAGACACACAGATACACACACACGTGCACACACACACACACACACACACACACACACCGTGTGCTATGAACTAATGTACATAGAATCAATAGGATCAGAAGAAGAGAAGAGGGCTCACCTAATGAACTTGCTGTGCCACTAAGAGAAATGACTCCCACAGAGATCAAGAAAACCGTTCAAGAGCAGAAGGTTCCTGGCAATGCCAGAGTAAGAGCTCATGTGTGGTGACTCAGCCCGGCGCAGATGCCACAGAATTCTATCTGTAACTGGTCACAGTCCAGACTATGACAGTTCCTGATAAGAGCTTCAGTTCGGAAGGCGATTAATAACAACTTATTTCACTACACTCTTCAGTCATGTCTGGATTCCCCCTCTCCCCTGAAGGCAGAGACGCCAAACAGAAATGGGAAGAGATGCACTCTTTGTCTACTCTTTGCTAGACACTGCTAAGTGACCACACAGGTTCTCACATGGCTCTCAGTCACGAGTCTAGCCGCTTCTAAACCTCGGAGAGCTCCAGTGCATGGCAGTGTACTGCTGCAGCCGAGGTGACCAAAATACACTTGATGAATGGATGTAGGACACGCCAGGTATGCATGTGAAGTAAGAGCCAGGGAGATAATATAATTTATTCAAGGAGGTCGCATCACCGGTAAAGGGGGAAAGCCACAGGATTGGAGACTGGGACTGTAACATCATTACTGATCCATGTTCTTCTACTACTTGGGGTTCTCTTTTATATCTCTCCAACACCAATAAAAGTGCTTTCTTGCTTGCTTGTCTCCTAACACAGAGGCTGGCTCTTTTATCTGTTTTTTGTTTTGTTTTGTTTTGAAATCTCTCCTGTGTCTCTTGGATCTTTTCATGTTTCCTTGAGTTTCTTCTGTCGAAGAATTTTCTTTAAGAGGTCACTTTTGGTCTGGCCAAGTAGCGTGAGAATGTCAGTTCAGATGAGGACACACTAAAGGCCACAGCCAGGAACAGCACACAGAAGGAGCATGCTGGCTCTAGAGATAACTAGAGATAACGTAACTGGTATGGTTAGGCGTAGCCTCTCTTTACACTCCTTAATAGCAAAGGTTTTCATGGAAACCCTTCACAGGGAGTTCTTCCTAACTGTGTTCTCTCTCTCCTCTCTCCCCAAAATACAAACACAAGTTGCTAATGTTTCATACTAACTCTCTATTGTAAATCATTCTCTAAAGCATATCCAAAAATAAGGCATTTTTTAAATAATACATATAAGGCGAGTTACGCTTTTCAGATATTTTTGACTTGGGGCTGTTAACTGGACTGTGTTTGTTCCATCCAAGAAAGCCCAAAGAGATGAATAATGATCCAAAACAGACTACACTTGAGTGGTTCTGTATATTACATGCAAAGAAATGTTCCCACCACAAAGTCACTAAATGAATGTCACTACGCCTGAATAGAGGAAGAAAATTGAATTGTGATAAAAGCAAGTTGTTTAAAGGATCTTTAGTTCATGTCTACCAAATTATCCTGAACATTATGTGCTGAACAAAGGCTCTGATACTCATATTATTAAGTAATAGAAACATTTTGAGAAATAAGCCAACACTTTCCTGTAGAAAAGATTTATGTATCGTTTTCTGTTTTTATGAGGGTTGTAATTGTCCTCCAAACCTTTGAGCAACGCCAAATTCTCTTTCAAGTTGAACATTCTGTAGTATTATGTTCTCTTTAATGCCAGAGGCCACACTGGGATGCCTACAATAAATTAAATGATGAACTAAATGAAATGGGCAGAAGCCCAGATACCTGGTTAGGCCTAACCCCTGAAACGTCCCATTAGCCTGGCTCTTTGTTAGACAGCCAGGACGCCATTGCAAATCACGGTGTCATGGTGGGACACTGCACGTGGTGAGCTGATGGTCTCACAAAGCAGCTCTTGTCATTATTTTTCTTGATGGAGTCAAAGAGCATCACCATCATCTTCAACAGAAAAGACAAGACAGCTGTGTCTCCTGTCTCTTCATTTCAGGACTCTCCAGTGTCAGCTAACTGCTGGACACATGTTCTGCTGGTGTCCAACATGGTCAACTGGGAGGGGTTCTCTAAATTTGAATGCCATAAATGAGACTTTTATTGCCTGGAGGACACAAGGAAAGCATTGAGTGATAAAAAAAAAATTGCATTTTATGTTCACTGACCTTTAAACAAAAAAACTACCACCATTACTAGTCCCAGATTCCAGGAGTTACTACACAGATTTGAAAGGCTGGAGTTTACTGAGGCTTTCAGAAAATGTCATGGCATGGTGTTGTCAAGCATGAAGTCGCAAGGTCTCATTTTGGCTTAGTGAGGTTGAAACTCACTAATGTCAGAGAATGAGTTTAGGATCAGGGTAGTCATGGCCCAGCTGCCACTTATGTACTGTGTGACTGTAAAGACTGCATGGGGGACAACAGTGAGACCACTAGAGTCAGGATGTCACGCTGTGCACTGGTGCCAAGCTCCTGGTTTTGCATTTCTGCTGCACTCACCTAAGAGAATGTTCTCTTTTAATGGAGCCACTAAACCATACTGGAGTAAAGGAGTGTGGTGTATGTAGCTTACTCCCAATAAGCCAGAATGGACAAAAGATGATGCATAAAACATTGAAAATATATTTGAACAATCTGAGTAACAAATATGAGAATTTGTGTATTGGTCATATGACTTTTCTACCAACTCTGAAGTTATATCAAAGCAAAGATAAACCACAAGCATATAAAGGACAGTCAGAGAATAGTCATTAAACACAATGACTTCATATGCAAATGGAGAGAGAGAGGGTACATTAAAAACAAGCAAGTTCTTCTGTGTCTTATGGGCATCACAAGGCCACAGCATACATGATAGTCACAACAGCTTTGGCAGCCTACATGGGGCATACACAAGACTGAGCCCTTAAACATTCAGTCATAGATGAGAGAGAGGCTGATCTCCCCAAATACCTGTACAGGGGAGCTACTGACAGTTAACAGCTGCTGAGCAAGAAGAAGCCACTGTTGCAGTGATGTAGTCACTGGTAAGGTAGTTGCTCACGGTCCAGTAGATAGTTCCACACTCACAGACATACAAGTATCCCTGGTTAAACCCAATGGATCACAAAACAAGAAAAACTAAAAACAAGACCGAAAGGCATGAAAATGGGATGGGGCCTTAGTAACTGGAGGAGATACAGAGGGACAGAAAAGGAGGCGGCAGAATGTGGGTGGCCAGAATATGGTATACACCTGTGTGAAATAAATGAATATAAATAAAAAATACAAAGAACAGAGAGTTTCTGGAAAATGTCAATCCTCAAAAAATTTCCATTTGTTTTGCATTTCATTTAGGTAGTAATTACGCTGTTCACACTGGAGAAAATGGCGGCAACATCAGTCCACAGGAGTCCCACCTCTGAGAAGCATCCAGTGACAAGAGACAAGACAAACGTTTGGATCCAGTTGGGTAAAAGCAGATACAGGAAAGTTTTCTAGAAAAGATTATTTTCTAGCAAGCTCTGAAACACAATCAAAGAGAATTTGCAGACAAGCGTCTCTACTGGATCCAATTCTCTTACCTATGGGAGACCACATACGTCTATTGTGCTGGGATGTGTCAAGCAGGGTTGGTCAAGAGTTGGAATCAGTTTTCCAAAACCATATAATCTAAAACAAAGGAATGGGATCCCTTGGGAAACACACAACTCAATAATCCATGCACAGACTTACAGACTTCAGTCTTGACCTCTAGACACATAGCAACTGTACTTGCAGTTCATTCCTTGCCTTAACCTCACATTGCTCTTGGATAGGCTTATTCTTGAGGAAAACACACAGCTGGAAGTCCACTCCTCACACTACAAAGGCTTCGGAAGGCTACCTCTGGCCTATATGACCTACCCTGTATATTCACACTGTGTGGTTTGAAGATAATTACCAAAAGCCCACACAAGCAAGAACAGCAAAAAGATGTCTGTCACAGATACAAAGTAGAGTTCATTTCTGATTTTGTCCTGAGGGGAACAACACAACAGAGAAAATTAATAAATGGATCAAATGGCTGTTATTTAATTGAGACATCACAATAGAAAGTATGTTCAGGTGGTCACACAAAGTCTCATATGGACATGATCAAGCTTCTGTGTAAGAATGAGATTTGACACCACATTAGAATGTGGTAGAAAGCAACCTTATCGATACCACCTGAGAGGTTATGTTTCAAAAACCATACATTCACTGTTGAAATACAACAGCTATCATTGAAAGGCTATATGTTGCAATTCAATCCTGTAGGGGTGGACGTGACATTACATACTGGTGTTTGCAAATATATTCATATGTAACATTGAACAGAACCGCGAGATAAAAATAGGTTTTTTATTAACAAAACACTGATCAATACCTTAATTATTGATCATGAGTTAACCATTACATATTTTAAATTCAAGCCTAGGAATGATAACCCGCTAGACATTTTTAGAGGTTAAATTAAAATTTATCCTATCACGTTATCTCCAACTTCAACCTTGAACTTCCCTTTTTTAGTGTTAAAAAAAGAAAAGAAAAATACAGATGGAATAAGCTTCATTCACTTCAATTAAAAATAAGATATAGACTTCAAAATCTGAAACAAAGATCCTTGTTGTTTAGTTAAAAATATCCCCTATCTAAGACAAGAACTATTTATATCACTTAGCATGACCTTTGATGGATTGATAAGTTATCACATGATCTAAAATCTTTGACAAAAGCAGTCATATAAAAGGAATATGACCAGGATGGTGGGAACTATTTTTCTTTCTGGAATTATTAAGCTTAAAGCTGGTCTGCAGTGGTTAGACATTGCAGCTTTTCAATGAACATAATTTAACATTGCCATACCACATACAGAACAAAAGCTCAAATGTCAATTGGCTAAGCTATTAAATGACCATGGAGAGCTGGCTCGGAAAGAATACCTTTTTCAAGTGTGAATATTTTACTTTGGACACATTTAGCTAGC